GCCATCAACTCAGTCAGGTACGTGAACTCGTCCCCCGCCCAGCGTTGATGGAGCGTCGAATCGCAATCAGGGCGTTCGGTGCGAGTAGGCTCGCCGATTGCCTTGAGGTAGCGGGTGTCAGAGTCCCCCGCTCGCCTCCGGCCGCGGTTCCCCTCGTTCTCTGTCCTTGACGATTTCCCCGGCGAGAACGGGGATGGTGAAGTCGCGTAGGGCAGCAAACTGGTAGAAGCGAATGGATGGCAGCACGTCCGAAGGAGGCTTCCCCCGGGGTTTCACAACTCTCTCTCTGTAGCTCTCACCGACCGGGTTTGAGGTGCCTGGACACGGGGCGGCCCCTTGAACCACTCACGGCTTGAGCCAAAATGGCTACTGTCTCTCTCTCTCTCTCTCGCTCTGTTCCCCTCTCGCAGTATCCTAAGCATCATACTGTTCGTGAGCCAACCTGCCTCCTGCAAAGCCATGATGTCAGCTCCACAACGCGATAGCTCCCGGAATATCTGCACCAATCTTGCCTGCAATGGCCGTTCAATGCCGTTCAGCAAGGGACACGTCAAGACCCTACCCAACTGTTGGGTGTCGCCCTAGCCCTGTTTCTTGAACCCGTACTGCGGCCGACAAACCGACGAGGCTTTGCCGTCTGCAAAAATCCTGCAACCCCCTTGTCTTGGAGCTGATCCTGCTTGCGCTTGCTGGGATGGTCCTGGGATTGTGGTCTAGGTTGGCCTCCATGTGCGTCTCAACATCCCCAAACAGCTCGAAGAGGACGTTGAAAGTTAGGACCTGGTTCAGCCGGGACAGAAGGGACTGTCTCGCGAGGCCTGCGTTTCATCTAGAGCCGCCCTAGCCATGCTTAGAGAATATAGACATACTTAGATGATTTCACCTCGATGTATCGCTTTAGTAGGTTTTCGCTGAACGATCCCCCCACCTGTTGAGTCTGGGTGTCCGGCGGCATTAAACACCAAAAAACGCAAAGGAAAACTATCAAGAACAAATCATGCATTCCAGCTTGAGCAGTAACCTGGGACACGAAGCTGCTGCGATCGTAGTGTTTCCCATTGTCGAGCTCTTGCCGAGAAAGGACGGCGAGCTGGCCTACATGAGGCTCACGCCCCGGAGGCCAAGAGAGCCCTATAGCTGTGCCGGTTCCAGTCGTTCGCTATTATGCGAAGGGATCCCGGTCTTGATGCTGGTCTCTGAAGCTGCCCATCCGCCGCCGTGCGCAATGAGGCTTCTTAAGGAACTTATGTTTTGTTTTGACCCGTGTGGTAGGAGACAAGTGCTGGCCAGGACACTCGGAGCTCTGTCAACGCTACGGCAGTGGCAGCGCCAGGTAATGGCAGCCAGGTTTCCGCCTCGCTGTTCACTCAGTGTTGCAGGGCTCAGGGATCTTACGACGACGCTTTTCGTTGGGAACGCGCTGCCGAGATGTCGGACCTCCGCGGAATACTTCATGACCTGTATCTCTTCTTCTCCTGCTTTGGCCTGCGCAGGGCAGGGCGCAGCGATCTTCAGAACGCTGGTTTGCCGTTACAGGACGATGGACTTGAACACCCGCTATTGATTGACATTGCACTGGCACGGTGTCGTTCAAAGTAGCAGCACCTGGCATCTTTGAAGATGGCGTAAGGCGTTGACAACATATTCTGACACCGTGCCAGACAAGTCTGCCTAAGTTGGTGCAATTTCTCCCTATCTTAGTCTGACAGCAGACCAGGTCTCCCAGGGAACCAGTCCGCGCCTTTCGATCCTGAGTCTGGCTCCAACGCACCTTCCAACAAAAGCATGGGCAAAGGCGGACCTAGAGAACAGAATCTGGCAGAATCATCTCCAGTGGATCCTCCCGCCTTCGTCTTCCACCTCCAAACCGTCTTGACACATCTGTCGGCACTCCCTGCACGCCTTGATGATGCCCTTGTCAATCTTCATCATCGTCTGTTTGGCCCGGCAGATCGCTTCCTCTCAGGCTTTCACGTCCATGTGGCTTCGGCAAAACTGCAGCTTCTGCCGTAAGTCGAAAACATTGAGCCCGATCTACTCAATCCAACGTCCCAGCCAGGGTGATGGACTGGGAACTTGCGCACCGTGGGGGCAAGTCGACGGTGCAGAGGCTTTTCTGGCTTGCGAGAATAGTAGACTCAAGGAGACCACAGAACACTGCACCTCGCCTTTGTCTCGGCTGCGGCTGCTTGGGACACGGCCTGTCAGAATCCCGACCCTACAACCGACTATGTCATAGCTGGCAAGGGAGCGAGAGATGTGGAGATAGTGGATAGTGCGAGAGAGAGAGAGAGAAAGAGAAAAAGAGAGAGAGAGAGAAAGAAGAGAGAGAGAGAGCGAGCGAGAGGGGACGATTGGCAGAGAGTGGAGAGGGAGAGATGGAGAGGAAACGAGAAAGACAAATCGAAAGAGAGGGAGAGACATTCAGAGACATGGACCCACATGCTTTTGCAGAATGTTATACGCAGGCTGCCTATATGACTTTAATCTACTCCATGACTCTATATGCGGAAGATCTCCTTTAAAACCTTGACATGCGTACAACGAAGTGGGATACATGCACTGCACAGAGCAGTGATTGCTGCTGTCGGTCTGACACACGCTGTATTTTCTGCATGGAGCATCGAGCTACTGGCGCACGTACGTGTAGATGCGCCAACAGAGGCAAGAAGATGCCGCGTCTAGTCTCTGCAAAGGAATACTACGCGTGTGCATACATGCACATGCAGAAAAGTCATCTCGATTTTGCTGCACGGTACACCTCGCCAGTGCCGAAGACACGGTCCAACCGGGCTCGCCGATCCCAAAGCACATGCTCCTCCTGAACGAATAGCTCTGGACAGATGCCAGAGAAGCTCGGCTCTGCCCAGACCACGACGTGATTTCAAGCAGGATGTCGAAATGTGTCCAAACATCCCCATCTCCAAGATATCCAGCCCTGCAAAAGCTGAGAATCTCTCGCTGCAGAACCCTTGGTCTCCTCCCTGAAGTAGTAGACTCGGTGGTAAGGTATGTCGCCGCCTTGCAGGCTGAGTCTTCTGGTGAGTCAATGGACGATGTCCTTCATGGCCTTTGTGTGTTCTGAAACCTGTCTGGAGTGCAAGAATGGAACCCACCTTTCGAGATTCTGCGCGGGATGCCCGGTAGTGAAACTTGGACGTGCAGTTATGTCCGCCCTGCTCCAGCTTTGACCTCAAGCCTCGGCACGTTTTGCTCCAGCAAACCCTTCGCATCCCTTCGCCTGGCCGAAAGTCCAGCAGCTGCACTTCCAGCGGGCCGAGGAAGCGATCTTCGTAGCCTCTGGGCTCATGTGGAATGCGGACTCCTGCTAATGACATGCTCATGCTTGAAGCCGTCCAAGGGACCCATGATCACCTTCGCAGCACGAAAGCGTTCGTCGTGAATGAGCCGGTGATAAACATCTTCGCTGGTGCGAAGCCTGCGCGAGCAGTCGGCATTAGCGCGGAGCTCACACGCTGCACGCCCAAGTCGCAAACCTTGGATTCCTTGAACCAATTTAGCATGAGCTTTACATCCCATCATCAGAAACTTGGCCTGAGCTTTGAGCCCTGGCCCGGCTGATGAGATGCTGTGGGCACTGGCAATGTAGCCTGACGGCAATGGGCAGCGTCACAAGGCACGTCCCAGAATACCAGGCAGAAAGCCATGCGGCAACCAATGCATTGACGGCACCCTAACGTCCCCTTACCCCACCCGACTTCACAGCATGTGACGCAAGTGTATCACGCACACCAAGATTTTCAGCAAGTCTTTGTTCAGCGTCAGTCGTCAGTTCGTGGCTTAATTCATGCAAGAAAATTGATTCGCAGAGGCGGACGGCAGCATGCTTCCGGGTTTGTCTGTGCCGGGCCTGGAAAGTCCTGCAATGTCCTGGAGATTGATGCTTCTAGGAACTACCCAGACTGATCATGCCACAGATCCACGAAACTGGAAAGAGTGGGCATCTTCGCACACACTCTTGTGTGTCTAGAACCCAGTCACGCGACTCCTAGAGCCCTAGAGATATCGGATGTGTAAGAGCTCCACTCCTACACATTCTGACCTTGGGCTTTCGCATTGTTGAGGGCCACTCAAGCAGAGAAGGCATAGGCCTTTGGAGGCGAGTGTGCCTTGGCGTCCAGGCCAATCTCCTCCGTATCCTCAGAAATCCGCAATGCTCCCCACCACTTGAGAAGGGCAAATGTCAAAGCCGAGATCGTGCCGGCCCAGGCGATCACCATGAGAATCAGGATGACTTGTGCACCGAGGGCTGAACCGTTGATGCCCGTCTTGCAGGCACCGCTGTCATCCGTCATGCATCCGAAACCACTCCAGCCGTGGAAGTGGTCGAAGCCCTTGCCCCAGTCGAAGAGACCAGCAGCGAGCACACCCCAGATTCCACAGAAGCCGTGGACTGGGCTTGCATCCACGGGGTCGTCAATCTTCAGCTTCTGGAGCAGCATGGACGATCCCTGGTAGACAAGGGCACCGATGAACCCGACGGCGAATGCACTGCCACATTCAATGTTGCCGCACGGTGCCGTGATGGAAACAAGCCCTGCCAAGATGCCATTGCAGAGCCCGCCCACCTGAGGGTTGCTTTAGAAACACTGGTTCTGGCTTCCGTCTGTTTTTCTGTACCAAAGTCAGGACCATTACAAAGTCCAAGGCGCGTCATACTTGCGAAGGATGATGTACCGCAGGAGGAAGACAGTGATGCCGCCCGTGGCTGCAGCGATTGTGGTGTTCATGGCCACTTGGGCCGCCAGCGCACCAGTGTCTCCGGTGGACATGCCCAGGGTTGAACCCGGGTTGAAGCCATACCAGCCGAACCACAGTGCGAACGTTCCGAAGACCACCAGCGGAAGGTTATGAGGCTCAAACTCTTCTGGGTTGACAAAGCGCCCCTTGCGTGGCCCCAGCACAATGGTGCCTGCAAGGCCACTGACTCCACCGGTCAGGTGCACGATGCCACTTCCGGCGAAATCCATGACCTTCACTGCTACCCGCATCGTTTCGTCATGCATCTGGAGCTACCACCATGGTTTTGGTGTCATCTGAAATGCATGTTGGCAGCGGGCCCGGCCATAACTTACTGAACGGTTATCGAAGAACAGCCGAGCAACGCCAACATCCAGGATGTCACCGAGGAAGCCGCTGCCACTCCAACCCCAATGTACGACCACAGGATAGATCAAAGAGGTCATGACGAAAGCATAGCTGGCATACGTTGGACCCTGGACGCGCTCAGCAACAGCCCCGCTCACTATCGTGGCTCCAGCAGTGCAAAACGCCCACCTAGGTGTGTCGATTTTAACAGCCCCAAAACTTTTGAACAGCAAGGGAAATCAAACATTATCCGAAATCGGTACCTAGCCACTGAAAAAACCACGCAAGTGCCGTGCTCTGGCAAGCATTGTTGGCACAACCTGGGGCCAGGATGTTTCCGGATGCATCCTTTGTGTAGAAACCCTCACCCAGGAAGTTCGTCGTGCCAATGAAGCGGTTGATGCCACCCCCATAGGCAAAGGCGTATCCAAGAATCCACCATCCAAGAGTGCCCACACATACCTGGTTCCCGGTTGGGGCTATATCAAGAAAGATCATTCTTAGTCCTTAACGGATCTTATTATACTAAAAATGTAAAGTTGCAGCCAACAAGGATCCAGATGCATTGACCAAGTTCTTCATCAAAACGTTGGATGCATTCTTGGAACGACAGCATCCGGTCTCCAGCATGGCGAAGCCGGCATGCATGAACCTGGAGTCTTGCTGCTGTCCAAGTAATTGTACATTGGGTTTAACATCTCCAGAAGAATAAAGACTGCTATGGGAAAACAACCGAGGAGCATGACTAAGGCTCCGCACAAGCAGAGCCAAAGAGTGTCCATGGCCGCCCCCATGCTCCCGTCGGTCGCTTCAAGGGCGGCTTTCTCTGTTGCCCAGGCAGTCGCTGTGACGTTGCCAACCGCTTGCAGGCGGCGCTCCTCGTCTTCCTCGAGATTGGCGAGCTGGGCGAACTGCTGCTGGATGATCGTGCGCTGCTTCTGAAGTTGGCCTCGGAGTGCCTCGATTTCGGACAGAATTCTAGCCCGCTCTGCATCTTCGCTTGCCTGGCTCGTCACCGCCAACAGCGCGAAAGCTGCAAAACCTTTCATGTTTCGGAAGGCCTTTTTTGGCACAACCCACACGTGCGACAGTTCTAGCTTGAGCGAGACCTGAGCCAAAATGGCTCCAGAAGACTTCGTGTTGGAATTGCAAAGGTAATGTGAACGGTATGCGCCGAAGCAGGCCACAGCTTTCCCTCACCGCAAGTACGCACTTTCCAGCGCAACTTCTCACCTGATTCATGCAGGGCGGCCTTGACTTCCTTCTTCGCATGGCCCCTCTGAAGCGTCGCTTTCATGCCTTTGGAAGGGGGAGAAACAAGGCACAAGCAGGTGCTAAGATATGCCAGCACCAATTTGTTCTTCCGGAGCACGCTCCAAAGGATGTGTTTACTGTCGAACCGTCGCCTGTGATCTCCTAGTCCTAGCCTCGGCATGTCCCGGTCTCCAACATGCCAGAAACAGTCACTCTCTGAACCGGAAACCGAGTTGATCGAACTGCAAGTTCCCGAGACGTGGGCATGGTGTCGCCACTCGCAGCCGCCCGGCGCCGGCGGCGGCCAGGCCGTGCCAGGTTTGGTGCTCAGCGGTGGGTTGGGACACGCCTCGACATGCAATTCTGCTTCCTTCAGCACGAAACATGTCCAAGGTTTTCCAGGGCTTCGGGCGATTTGCGTTCACTGCCAGCAATTCCTTCACACCAACAGCTGCCCTTACTTCTTCCTTGATTCCTTGAAATTGCTACATGAAATAATATTAAAGAATATATATATATACACATTATATTATACTATACTATATTATATTATCTTATACTATACTACATTAGATTATACTATCTTACCATAGGTTATATGACCATATGTTATATATGTAACATAATATAATATACAATAATATATATTATACCATAATATACTATAATATAATATGATTTTAAAATAAAGTGCTATAATGTGATATAAATATAATAAAATGTAATATACTATAATATAATACCATATACTGTAATACAAGATAATGTACTATAAGAGGATATAACAGAATATAACTTACTGTAATATAAAAATAACATAAAGTAATATAATATAATACATACATATATAATAGAATAAATATAAGTTATCCAGACCCAAACCGAGGAAAC